CGAGGACGATCAGGATCATGGTCATGTGCCTGCGTCAAGGCCACAGAGCATACGAAAGTCTCAGCTTATAAGACAAAGTTCTTCCGCTTCTCTCCGCATCAGACCAAGTTCAGGTCTAACTGAGTCATCGATTGATGTTTTTGGAGATGATTCCGGGATCGAGTTCATCGACGGTGATGATATAAAAAATGAGAAAGTCTTTGATAACTTCGACGACGAAGGAGTTTATTCCAGAGAAAGCTCCGCAAAAGATCGTGTTGCATCGGGAAAACGTCGAGAATGTCATTCTCAAAACTCATCATTTTTTCAATCGATAGAGGAGGCACCCAAAGATGGATTCTGGGAGGAAGATATACCAAATGAAAGCCAAAGGTCAGTTAGTACACAATTAAATGTTTACGCTTCCGATACTGTAGTGAAACAGATGTTGAAAACAAAATCACATCGGCTACATCTTTGTACTGAAAACGATGGCACTATCGGACCATACATCAGCAAAAGGGAATCGGATACTATTTGTGACATTGAATCTGAAGACAGCATTACCAAACCTATCGATAAAGACGGTATGGATAGAAACGCCCAGGATAATTCTATAAAGCGTTTACACGTTCAAAATCTCGTTGTTGATCATTTGTACTGTGAAGCAGGCGTGGAGGAATTCGATAGCGATAGAATGGAAATGGGATCTATCTTAGACTACTGTTCAAGTATTTCGTCACCACGACCTGCAAGTCGCCTTCATGCAGGTCGGAAGCCTCATCCGAGACCAAATTCACATTCATATCGCCGACTTCTTCGTACCACGTCTGCAGATCGTTTTAAGACAATAAAGCAACTAGAGAACAGAATATTAAGACATCAAAACACAGACCCTCAACTGAACAAGTATTCAATCATGAAGGCCAATGAACGGTTGAACGGAATAGGGCGACCGAATCCTAATGGATTAAAGTGTTCGCATATAGATTTGGATCTAGGACTTGGGGAAGAACTTGACGTTGGTCAGAACTTTCGGCCATATTCACCTTTGAGAAGACCAAGAACAGCGGTTACATTCAAAGAGGCAAACAGGCGAAGTGTATCTAACTCAAAGCATGATGAATATTCAAAGTATGATTCGGGGATCGATTCTCCGGATACTGATGAGGAAAAAAATATTAGTATAGTAGACCTTTCACAGAAACTAAATACGCAATTTGGTGATCTAGAGGCGCCGAACCAGTCTTTACAACATCATGGCTACAAGAGTGTTTGGCCCTTAGCGCGGGTGATGACGGCTTACAACAATAAATATAACGATGGAAAGAGTATGCAACTTAATTCTATATCACGGAGATTGGAACGTTGTGAAATACCTGAATGTTGGAGTGAACGTGAAAGTCCGGACATCAAATTTCGGGATAGGCCTCAAACAGCTAGAGAACCGTTGAACGTCAGAGTGAACTCAAGACCTCAAACAGCTAGGGCTAAATGTAGTGTTGGAGGAGGACAACGCCCTGCAACTGCTGGTAGGAATAGCCGTGTTAGACCACAGACGGCGCGTGTTAGCAGGCCTCCTGCACAGCCAGTCATGCTAGACCACAATTCTGTAAAGCAATCTAATGGCGGTATCATCACATTAACACTCCCTTTTCAAACAGACAGCAAAACACGATATAAACGAACGGCGCATTCATCTAACAATAGATCGAAACGCACACTATATTACTGACAGGACTGCCCAAAAATAACGTTTTTATATCAAATATCAAAGTATGTAAAATTTTAAATTGCAGAATTGAAAAAAGAAACCATGTATACGATTGTCTGTTGAATTACGAAAAACGTATACACAACGTACCGGTTTTTCCCTTTGAGTGTTAAATTGTGTTTCTTTTATAAGCAATGCGTTGATGTGGTTAAGCCCATAGCCAGAAAGTGCTGTTTTTGTCGAAGCATATTGATGTGCTCAGTAGCGTAATGTACTTGTTATAGACTGTAGAAGTGTTCGACAGACATTAAAATATATTGATAACTATTTGGAAGTCCTAAAATAAAAGAAAGAAAAAAGAAATCTGTCTGCGACTGTTGGGGGTCCATATTAACACGAATTTGTCGTGCACGTTATTGATTTCGATACAACAAAATGGCTGTAAATCAGTGAAGAAGCATCTATTACAATACTAATCTCGATAATCTGTCGCCACGAATTCCCATGGAAAGTCGACAGTTTCTCAAATTGTATCCGCATTAGAGGGAAAATGAGATTAAAACGCATAACCTCCATTTTTTCATCAGTGTTTGTACCCTGCGATACATGTACTGCAAAATTTTGTATTTGTTATCATGCACAATAGATAGATATAAAATAAATAATACGCTTCTCTTGTAAAATCAATATATTCGTGATCAAATGTTTACTCTTATGATTAAATCTTAATCTCTGTGTTTTACATGTTTTTGAACCTACGTTTTGTATTAAAAATATGGTTGTTCAGCGAATTAACTGATAAGAATATTTTTGTTCAAATGAATTGCTGGATTTTTTTTACATCCGTGTTAGTTCAGTTTCCATCACATCTGATTTTTCTATTGAGCGAACTTTTAATTAGGAATTCAATGTAAGAAAAAAATTGATTGTAGCAGTATCATGATTTACCGAACAGAGAAATTTTAACTAAGCTTCATCCTTTCTGTTATGGGTGAAAAATTTAATATATTCCACTATTTAATAAAGTTACTTTTTTGAAGCAGGGTAATATGTTTGCTAGTCTTCGTAATGCTGTGATAAAACATACATTGTACATACAAATGATATACTCATCCTCGACCAGTCTTAAATAAAATTGTGCCAAACACAACTAACAACAATTGTTACAATCCCTTACATATTAGATATATATTGATTAAAGAAATATGATGTTGACAAACATGTATGTTTACAAACTTTTAAGAGACCTTTTGGGTACAATAAAACTATTTTTTAATGTTATGCGGATATTTGTAGTCAGCCGTATTTATGTGTATATAGTAAATGTTCTCATTTCACAATGCTGTCTTATCTTAGAAGTCTATCCGACAGATAAACTTAATCTTTCTTCAGCTATATGGTTAAATATCAATATGCTGTTTGGCCAATAATAATAACAATAATGATGATAATATTAAGAAAACACAACATGGCCTACTAACATATGAAATATATTGTATTAATAATTAAAATGATTTGGTAGATCCTACCCTGCTTTGCTAGTGCTGTTTATGTTGAAGTACGAGAGTATGGGAAGGGAGACAACCTTTAATATACAGATTGTTTTTTCGAATTTGTTACACGATAATTTATTGAACAATTAAATAAAATCGATACGAATGACATTTGCGTTATTGTAATCTTGGTTGAAGGACACGGACGTCGCACTATTTAAGTTTTGTTGTGACTGGACACAAGCGGCCTTGGTGGGTGAGGAAGGAGGTCTGAAAAGTGGGATAGTAAGTATGGACAAACAGACAGACATTCCACAAGACTTAGTCCTTATTGTCATAGCCAAACAACAAAGCTAACTGATGTAACAACTGGCAGGTGTACACTGCTGAATTACACTATATGATCATGTGATTGGGCAGTGATGTGATTGGTGAGAAATTTAACTTCGTAACTTTTGAAATCTGATCTTACTCACGAGGTTGTCGTAAGGTTCAGCTGGTCTTAAAACATACAACACATTTTTTAGGAAGGAAAGAATGTGATCTTTATGTCGAGGAGGTTTAAATTTTGTAGTGGTCTTTGAATGGAGGTTTCACTGTATAAGATACGAAAACCAATGTTCTACGAAAATCAATTGTATGCATTTGCAATAAATGTTTAGAATAGGGTCTTTTGAGGAAATGATATTGAATCCTAAGTGTGTTCCATTTTCGTAGAATTAAAAGAATTAAGTTTTTAGAATTAAAAGAAGCAAGTTTTCAAAATTTCAGCAGAATGGAGAAATGGTACTTCATCTTAGTCTCATCATCGCCTAAATCGAAACTTCCGATTTAAACATCTTAATTCAAACTCAATATAGAGGCGATAACTGGTAAATCGAGAAACAGACATATACTAAGTGATTGTGTGTTCAGGTTTACAAGCAAGTTATTTCTCACTTTGATTGCTTGGTTAGTGTCCAATACCGGTGTATGATCAAGTTATTGCTTTACTTCCTATTAACAGCCAGTGACATTTCAGGACAGGTCACGTGTGCGTGGTAGAGAACACCGGAGTGTTTTTTTTTTTTTTTTGTTGGCCTATATCAGAGTATACTGACTCATTAAACGAAATAGTTTGAAGTAGAGTCGATGACTTTATTATAGTTAAACTACTTAGACATTGGTTTACTACCTTTTCAACAATAACGTTTAAGTAGTTAGTCGGGACGTGTAACATGAAGATAAAAGAAATATCAAGATAGAATTATCCTTCAAATTGAAGGATTTTTTTTACACAATGTAATATCTACCTATAGACTTTCAGTAGCAGGTAATCTAGTGACGTATGCAATCAACACATAGAAAATATGATTACTAATGGAGGCGAGAACGACATCAGATTTGCTATATATTTACGCAATCGTCGTCACTACTTTAAAACAACACCACAATCATTTATTGAAAAAAGTTGCTTTATTATAAAATTTCATTCTATAATATTTACAAAACAATGTTTACAAAACATAAACAAATGTACACGTCTAGTTAATGACTACACGTAGTAGACGATAGATGACAAAAGTGATATTAATGATATTGGTACATTTGTATTACTTTTTCCCACAAAAATCATCTTGGATTTTCAAACATTATTAATTTCAAAGTAGCTTTTACTTTAAAATGTTACGTGTTGGATTTTGTAAAAAGACAATACACCCACAAACTGAAACAGGAAAACAAATAGCAACTGCATCACCTGTAGAAAACAAACTCAAATGTTTTGGTTGTGCATACACATTTAATATGTATTAAAATGTATTTAAGTTATTCTTCTAACCGTTCATGCATACATTCTTGATGATTTGTTTTTGTCTAAACGCCTTTTTAAACGGTTCTGTGAAAAAAAAAAAAAAATCAAATACACCATGCATACACCATGCACGTGTAAACTGTGCAGCCAAGGTGGTGCTACCTTCAATTTACATAGTATTTGTCCCGGTTTCAGTTTTACGGGAAAATTTAAAGAGTTATAAAAAATATTGTTGACTACAGGAAAGGGAAGAAACCCGATGTTTGAATAAAACTTTTGGTAATGAACAAGCTCCGGACCCCGAATCTTAGTTATAAACAACGATAGGCCCCGTCACTTGATGATCCCATAAAAATTACCCATATTTTGTAATATTTCATTTTAAGGTAAGTAATTTTGAATAATACTTTGCCAAAAAGTTGTTTATTTCTAAAGTATGAAATTCAGTTTTCTTTCGTCGGCTATAACTAAATATCAACTCTATTTTGATGTGTAAAAGACAAAACTGCACTAATCACATAGTAATGGCTCTGTAGCATGCGTCAGTTGTGTCGTAACATGACACTTGTTTTATCAACAACGAATCAAAAACGGATACAAAAAAATGGTTTCGTGCCTTTACAAGGATGATTACATAAAGATATCCGAGTTGCCTCCCTTTAGTTTATTCTTTAATGCAACTTTTTCACTAGCTTTGTAACACTACTATTTTACATCTGTGAGGTATTTTCAGAGTTGAAAGATAGGGTATTTAACTTTTTGTAGAGATAAAGCAAAATTGACAATCGGAAACAAAATGGATAAAATTTTCAAATGGCCATACCCATATCAACAAACAATCAAACTACCTAGTAGTGCCATTGTAAGATAATTCCTTGATATTTTTTTTCCTAAATATTACGTTTTTTCTCTCGGAATTAAACTTGCAGCCTCCCTGAATAGATTCGAAGATCACTAGTTACAACTTGGATGACAGAACTTATAGAACTTCATTATACAAAATAAACCCTGTCGACGTTAGACGTAAGCATGATAAACCATACATATCTAAGGCGATGAAAATACTCAAACATTAAATATCACACAATTCTCCACTTGTACAAGATAAAGTTATAAATGACGAGGTCTCGGGTAACACTGCGTCATCATTATATGATATTTTAATTGACAGATGACCATATAAAGTCGTGAATCCCATCGTCCAACATGCTTCCCTATCACCGGGTGGCTTTTATAGTAGTGTCGGGTAGGCGACAGGAAACTTTAAGATGGATCCGTATGGGCAGGAGGACTCGGTCGTGATTAACAGTGGCATCTCAGTGGGTTTGCATTTTTTCTCCCATTAAGATAGCACAGAATTCTGAAAATATACATACAGACATACATAAGTATGACCATGCTTGAAAGGCTCTAGAATGACGAACATAAATCTAGTCATAATTCAGATCTCATTTTTATATACACATGCTAATCACTTCTGGGTGGCTCCGCTTGCAGACAAGAGATTTACATGTAACTTGTATGTTGCGTTTTAATCTACGTATTTGACCTACAGACATAACATTATATTAAAAATGTCGACTTTTTGGAAGAGTACACTTCCAAAGCTAGTTCTAGAAGCTAATGCTGTCCACTTTTGGTTTCTACAAAATTCAACAACGAAGGCTGTTAGCATCATTGACAAGTCCTAACATGAAGAAATAGATTTCGATGTCGTTAAATCATTATTTGGCTTTACTGCATCTGATTCTAAATTTGTGTTGAAAGGTACTATACTCATGTTATTGAGTGATGGAGGGAGGTGAACCACGTGCTAATTGCTCAGTTAACTTCATTTGCATAAGCTTCACTTCCTTCATCAGACTACTCAAGTAACAACATTTTCAGTACATCTTTGCTTCTCCTTGTAAAATTGTTGGAGTTGTCGTAAATGTTTGCATACATACATGACAACAACGGGACCGCCAAGCATGCTAACGAGCTCCAACCACGTCCAGCTTCTTATCATACAACGGGACGATCAGACATACTAACGAACTTCAACCACTTCCTACTTATTATCATACAATAGGACCACCAGGGATACTAACGAGCTTTAAACACGTCTAGCTTATCATACAACGGGACGATCGGACATACTCACGAGCTTCAAACACGTCCTTCTTATTATCATACAACGGGACGATCAGGCATACTAACGAGCTTTAAACACGTCTAGCTTATCATCATACAACGGGACGACCAGGCATACTAACGAGCTTTAAACACGTCTAACTTATCAAACAACGGGACGATCAGACATACTAACGAGCTTCAAACACGTCCATCTTATCATACAACGGGATCAGCAGGCATACTAACGAGCTTCAAACACGTCCAGCTTATCATCATGCAACGGGACGACCAGACATATTAACGAGCTTCAAACATGTCCAGCTTCTTATCATACAACGGGACGATCAGACATACTAACGAGCTTCAACTACGTCCAGCTTATACAACGGGACGACCAGACATACTAACGAGCTTCAACCACGTCCAGCTTATTATCATGCAACGGGACCACCAGGCATACTAACGAGCTTCAAACACGTCCAGCTTATCATCATACAACGGGACCACCAGGCATACTAACGAGCTTCAAACACGTCCAGCTTATTATCATACAACGGGACGATCAGACATACTAACGAGCTTCAACCACGTCCAGCATATTATCATACAACGGGACCACCAGGCATACTAACGAGCTTCAAACACGTCCAGCTTATCATCATACAACGGGACGACCAGGCATACTAACGAGCTTCGAACACGTCCAGCTTATTATCATACAACGGGACGATCAGACATACTAACGAGCTGTAAACACGTCTAGCTTATTATCATACAACGGGAGGATCAGACATACTTAATGATGTAACTCTCCACTAAGTTTGACTAACCAACGCATGTTAAATATAATTGTTAACTTCTTGACTTATTTTGACTAATCAATAAGCATGAAGAAAATACCAAAATGGCAACATAAACATAATTCAAACTCACAATCCCTAAAAATAGGGCAAAATATTAACAAAAGAAAGATTTAAACGGAGACTCCTGAAAAAATCGAAGGAAAATAAGACCAGATGTTCCGGAAAAAAATAAGCTTCATCAACGACAACCGGCATGTAAACCTTGGTCAATCCAAGTTAGTAATGCCACGTTCTCAAATGAAAACAAGGTATACAACAGAACCAACAAGCAAACTAATGAACATCAAACACGTCAAGCGTCACATCGCTATAATATATAGTAGTTTAAATAGAGGTTTGGTTGAACAGTTAGACAAGCCAGCTATGTAACGTTGTCTCTATGAATTCATGTTTAGTTAAGGGATCTCATCATTAATAGGCAATTTAAATGATTGTAATGCCGACGCATGATTAGCTAGTATTTCGTCTTTTGAAAGATTGCATCATATATAGTTGGAGTTTTCTTCGTTATCAGGCAGGCTCAGTTCTTTTTGTATACAGGGAAATAAAGTAATGTCTGCAGACAAGGATCAAGTTATTGGATGCCTTATCTGCAGGTACAATGACATACCTATCATGTAAATCATGAAACGTGGGCTTAACATCAGGATCGAGGAAAGCTGACCTGTGTTTTACTTCATTTTCTATTGCAAGCTGCCAATTCTTTAATGAATGATGGACCGGGTGGACTTGACCGACTCAGAAAGTGAATCCAACGCAGCATTTCTCGTTTCGAACATCCTCTGGCATAGTTTTCAACAGAATCCATAAGTAACTTGAAATTCACATTCCAATTAATGAACAGGGTTTCACGATATTTAGGACCCTTCATGAAAAGCTATCATAGCTCAACATTTTGAATAATGCTTAAATCACCACTATGTGTTCAGTTGGACCATAGGTATTAGAAGTGGTAGAACAAGAACAAACTGACGGAGGACAAGTTCAAAGGTCATCTACGTTTAGTTGCTGCTGCGTTTGTTTGTAGATGAAATGTTTGGATGCAATGGGCTTGGAGTAACTGTAGGAAATTGCAGGGATGTTTCAGCTTTGAAAGTATGGTGGAATGTTAGTCTGTACAGACTTCTGGTGTAAAATATTGCTGATGTTTATAGAATCCACTTCCTTAATTACAAACTCAACATTCATGAATTTGCAAGTTGTTGGAGGATCGCGGCCACCTGTACGGGCAGATTTAAAGAGCCTGACTTGTGCTACATCAGCAATGATTTTATGAAGCTTCCAAACTATTTCGACAGTTCATCAAATAATAGCTTTCGTAGAGAGAGAGAGAGAGAGGAAGCGAATATAACAAAGTTCGAATATGAAGAACACCTAGTGGTTTCTATAAAGTATCCAATGTGATGGTATTATTCTAAACTAACTTTGACTAATGAATGAAGTGATATAATTCTACACTGACTTTGACTAATGAATGAAGTGATATAATTCTACACTAACTTTGACTAATGAATGAAGTGATATAATTCTAAACTAACTTTGACTAATGAATGAAGTGATATAATTCTACACTAACTTTGACTAATGAATGAAGTGGTATAATTCTACACTGACTTTGACTAATGAATGAAGTGGTATAATTCTACACTGACTTTGACTAATGAATGAAGTGGTATCATTCTACACTAACTTTGACTAATGAATGAAGTGGTATAATTCTACACTAACTTTGACTAATGAATGAAGTGGTATATTTCTGCACTAACTTTGACTAATGAATGAAGTGGTATAATTCTACACTAACTTTGACTAATGAATGAAGTGGTATAATTCTACACTGACTTTGACTAATGAATGAAGTGGTATAATTCTACACTGACTTTGACTAATGAATGAAGTGGTATAATTCTACACTGACTTTGACTAATGAATGAAGTGGTATCATTCTACACTAACTTTGACTAATGAATGAAGTGGTATAATTCTACACTAACTTTGACTAATGAATGAAGTGATATAATTCTAAACTAACTTTGACTAATGAATGAAGTGGTATAATTCTAAACTAACTTTGACTAATGAATGAAGTGATATAATTCTGCACTAACTTTGACTAATGAATGAAGTGGTATAATTCTACACTAACTTTGACTAATGAATGAAGTGATATAATTCTACACTAACTTTGACTAATGAATGAAGTGGTATAATTCTACACTGACTTTGACTAATGAATGAAGTGGTATAATTCTACACTAACTTTGACTAATGAATGAAGTGGTATCATTCTACACTAACTTTGACTAATGAATGAAGTGGTATAATTCTACACTAACTTTGACTAATGAATGAAGTGATATAATTCTAAACTAACTTTGACTAATGAATGAAGTGGTATAATTCTAAACTAACTTTGACTAATGAATAAAGTGATATATTTCTAAACTAACTTTGACTAATGAATGAAGTGGTATCATTCTAAACTAACTTTGACTAATGAATGAAGTGATATAATTCTAAACTAACTTTGACTAATGAATGAAGTGGTATAATTCTAAACTAACTTTGACTAATGAATGAAGTGGTATCATTCTGCACTAACTTTGACTAATGAATGAAGTGATAAAATTCTAAACTAACTTTGACTAATGAATGAAGTGGTGAAGACTAATGAATGAAGGTATAATTCTAAACTAACTTTGACTAATGAATGAAGTGATATAATTCTGCACTAACTTTGACTAATGAATGAAGTGGTATAATTCTAAACTAACTTTGACTAATGAATGAAGTGATATAATTCTGCACTAACTTTGACTAATGAATGAAGTGGTATAATTAACTACTAATGAATGAAGTGATATAACTGACTTTGACTAATGAATGAAGTGGTATAATTCTAAATAACTTTGACTAATTGATATAACACTAACTTTGACTAATGAATGAAGTGGTATAATTCTACACTAAGACTAATGAATGAAGTGGTATAATTCTACACTAACTAATGAATGAAGTGTATAATTCTACACTAACTGACTAATGAATGAAGTGATATAATTCTACACTAACATTGACTAATGAATGAAGTGATATTATTCTACACTAACTTTGACTAATGAATAAAGTGGTATTATTCTACACTAACTTTGACTAATGAATGACGTCGTATAATTCTCTTCAATTAATCTTCTTTTTTTGCCTTTCATTCGGTCAATTTGATATTTACATTTAGTAAGGTATTATAGACGTTTATATAATTATGTGACTCACAACTACATTTGTCTAGCCAACTGAAAGATAAAATTCACCTTCGACTCTAACAAACGAACAATATGACTCACCGTCATAATCAATCTTTCCATCATTATTGGTATCGGCTATCTTCATCATGTCGTTGACGTCTGTCTCTTTCAACGGATCTTCGCCTAGCATTTTAACAATGTTTTCTAATTCCTTAGCATCTATCCACCCATTTCCATCCCGGTCGAACACTTTAAATGCTTCTGATAACGATTCAGCCATCGTAATTGGGTTCTTGTATATATAATACATATGATAAACAAACTCTGCGAATTCCACCATTCCATCGTCTGGAAAATAACAAGAAGACACGATAAATTAATTGTACAAAATACACACATGTGAATAGTTTTGGAACCTAGGAGGGGACTGAGGAAAATGTAGTGTAATAGATTGAAAGGAATCAAACCTGATCGAAAGAAATCTTAAAATCTAGAAGGAGATGAACATATGCCCCATCATTCAGGAAATATCGTAGTTGCCATATATTTGATCATGTCATTGGTATGTCAGTTACACCTGAACTGTGTCACAATTCTTATTTAGTAAATTGTGGTGCGCAGGTTAAAAAATCTTCAAACTCAAAGTCGATTGAACAAATAAAGACGATGTTTGTTCTCAATTCAGTAAATGCTCCAGGTTTTCATGTGAGTACTTATCTTATACTCATTATTAAACATGTATCTAGTGTCAGACCATTTCGTTATATTGATTTTTCTTGTTTTTCTCTGGTATTTCAACACATTAGGCTCCTAGCATTACTGACAATACAATTCAGTTTAGAGCATTGTTTGTCGATAAACTCAAATTGTGAATTGGTACTAAAGAATGTGTTGTTCTCTTACTTATCCTTTGTTTCATACATTACATTTTTTTCGTATAAAAAATTGTCTTCTACAATCACTACAGATTACATTTGTTTTTCTTTTACAGCAAACACATTGTATGTGTCTTATATCAGTTAGAACGGAATATGATTCATGCAGCAAATTGAATAGTATTTATAAGTATTCTTAACCTACCAACCTGTGAATTCAACTTACACCTTCTTATATTGTAATATAGTTTGTTCCCTATTGTGGGAACAATTGCATGTAAAATAGGGATAAACAAATAGTGTTATAAATACGTCTCATTACGTACACTGGTATTGCATTTTTAACAATTTAGCCTCTTCAAGGTTTGGAAACAACGACAACATCTGTGTTTAGGTGCTAATTCCTATTTAGTATATCAATACTTCATCATCATTTCTTTAATTAAAACATTTAGTTTTCTTTTGATAGTAGTGATTAAGCAAATATTTTCAATTTATTCCATACACAGCAAGAAGTGATACTTCTTAAGTAATAAAATGTTAAAACAATATATATTACTATTTTTGTCTAATTTGCCCATTGCATCTTTCACGTCCTCATCTGTCGGGTTTTGTCCGCATCCTTGCATCACTCTGCCCAGTTCGTCAAGACATATCCGACCATCTTTGTTCGTGTCGAAAATATTAAATGCATTCCAGAATTCTATTTTAAATAAAAACCAAGAATTGAAACGATTTGGAGATAAAATCAATCCAAAAATTATGTATGAAAAAGGAAATATTTCGTCACTAAAAAGCATGAAGAAATGTAGTAGAAAAACACCATCAAGTCAAATAGTATATAGGAACGCCTTCTGATAGATACATAGCAGATATACACAGCGTAAATATACGCGTCAAATGACTTGAGATGAACGCTACATGGACACAGAACATTCATTGATATAGTTATGAATACAACGTACTGTTATACAGATTGGTAACACAGTGTGGAGATTCACGGTATACTGACACACAATGCACAGTTATACAAATTAGTAACACAGTGTGGAGATTCACAGTATACTGACACACTATATACAGTTATACAAATTAGTAACACAGTATGGAGATTCACGGTATACTGACACACTATATACAGTTATACAAATTAGTAACACAGTATGGAGATTCACGGTATACTGACACACAATACACAGTTATACAAATTAGTAACACAGTGTGGAGATTCACGGTATACTGACACACAATGCACAGTTATACAAATTAGTAACACAGTGTGGAGATTCACGGTATACTGACACACTATATACAGTTATACAAATTAGTAACACAGTGTGGAGATTCACAGTATACTGACACACAATATACAGTTATACAAATTAGTAACACAGTGTGGAGATTAACGGTATACTGACACACAATATACAGTTATACAAATTAGTAACACAGTGTGGAGATTCACGGTATACTGACACACAATGCACAGTTATACAAATTAGTAACACAGTGTGGAGATTCACGGTATACTGACACACAATGCACAGTTATACAAATTAGTAACACAGTGTGGAGATTAACGGTATACTGACACACAATGCACAGTTATACAAATTAGTAACACAGTGTGGAGATTCACGGTATACTGACACACAATACACAGTTATACAAATTAGTAACACAGTGTGGAGATTCACGGTATACTGACACACTATATACAGTTATACAAATTAGTAACACAGTGTGGAGATTCACGGTATACTGACACACTCTATACAGCTATACAAATTAGTAACACAGTGTGGAGATACAAAGTGACAACCCCCAGTCTATAATGGCCATCAATTATATATCAATTATTATAGAACTACTATGTAGTGTCATTTAAACATACCAAATACAGACTTACACTTTTCATATACATTGTATACACATCTATGATACAAGACAATCAATACACTCTTAAATGGTTTCCAGTTCAGTGAAGGTACATGTATACCGTATACACACGTGCGGTTTCTGAATGTGTAAGAGTTATATATGTGTGAATAATTTTATGAGGAAACGTAATATGTTTTACTGGGGAAGTATCAGCTTACAAATACATCATATTTTACCATCTAAATGGTCTTTTTTAAATTCTTCAAATTTTGCTCTTTCAACTGGATCTTGTATTCGGTCGTCTATCTGAAACTGTAAATAAAGAATATGGATAAAGTTTTGCACAAAGCAATGAAATATTCAACCTTAAATTGAACATCAAACATACTCGTATGTCATTACATAATTAACTTAAGTTGATTTTATGTACTATTATACATTTGTTTCAATACATTTAAAATAAGTGTTTCCCGAAAGTCAGCTCTGTCGGAATAATTGCATATGACCTACTGACACCTACTAAGGAACAATTACAACGCATAAAATATGTGATACAAATACTGGTGTATGTTCCACACACAGACCAAAATATGTGGCTCCTGTGGTGAAGTATATACAGACAAAATACTACATATGGTGATGCGATGCCAATCTACTATGATATATAAAACGTGCTAGTTCGAAACTTTAAGAGACGCATTTCCTATTGACCTGCATTTCTATCTATCAAGTTTAATAGAAGAGCAGCTACTACACGTACTATTGGGCAAGTTTCTTGATGTCTTTGCGTACCTGAACATTTCTGATGATAGCCTTAATGACATTATATTTTTAGGTGTACGCTACTTATGTCTATGCGTTCCAATGCAAAATGAACGGGAGTACATGTAGAACGACTATACCGTATGACTATATATTTAGCGTTATACTATTGAATTGTACTAAATCATTAGATATTTGTGAATGGTCAGTAACTAATTACCATTTATAATAAGAGATAATGTAATTATACCCATTTGTATTTATACACATATAATCGTGACATACATATGTGTGTGTGTGTGTGTGTGATACAGTATAATAACAAAGTTTATAATTATAACATAAGTATACTGGGCAATGTACATTGTATATTAACTTCTTATTACTATTATATGTATGTATCTCAGAAATGAGGAAATAAAGAGATGATGATGATGATGATGATGATGATGATGATGATGATGACCAACATTATTTTGAAGGCGGCATATGTTCGGTATCTGTTAACAACTATGCAAATGAGAGTACGGTGACGTCACAATGCATTGGGACTAGTTCCAATTAAAGTCTTTTAATTATCTTTGGCCATCTCGCTTCGTCTTATCCCAATATTCACTTCATACTAAGTGGTGATAATGATTCTGGAAATATATGAATTTTGAAGTACTCCAAATTGATTTTTACTGAAAACACTGCAGCATGACTCAACTTATTTAATAATTGCCATGATGTACCCGTAACTGTGAGATTTGTATGGTATTTTCACTGTAGAGTAATAAAGTTCGTGCTTTCGGTCCGGAATGGTTATACATTGCATGCTGACGGCAAACAGAACACAGTATTTGTATTACCGTTAAATATCATAGTACAATTAGTGATATGCTGACTCTCAGGGAGTTCATCATGTTTTTTATAAAGCAATATCTTATAATACTCTTTTTTTGTTAGTCTTTTTACTTTATAATTGATATTAAGTTATTCTAAACAAACGTACAAGTACTACGGTGTTCTTCGTGAACCTTGACCTGTCTTTAAAATAACTGATACTAAATGTTCAGCTCGATAAGGGTATTGTGTAGTATACACGTATAATACAGCCTTCAATATAATGGTTACATGATTATTTAAAAATACTAAAACTAATTACACCATTTTTTTTCTCTCTGTATCTTGTACATGTATAGACAGAAAAAAAATGGAATGAATGACTAATTTTAAGAGCATAAACATATCAAATGTGCTTATATTTTTTATCTTTTGGAGTTCCTTGTGCTGAAGTAATTAACATGTTATCAAAATTCTTTTAACGAGAAAACGATTACTTTAAATCTGAGTAAAATGTCTTTATACGTAATCAACCATAGTCATTTAGTACGCGGTATTCTATTATGAACGTGTAATGTCGCATATGATCTTTGCAGTTGGTTTGCGTGATGTCACTTCATGCATGTGATTATTGCAGATAGTTAAGCATTTAGAAATACTCAGTTAACTTTGCACTTATTTTTATTTACCAAAAATTCGGAGATATTTAGTTTGTGGAATTTTTTTTTTTTTAACTTAATTGTGACTTTAAGTTGTTGAATTTTGAAACAGAAACGCAGACAAGTTCTGTCGATTCGGAAAAGACACCAAGAAATGACTTCAAACATACTAGTGTGTGGTGTGGTGAATGTGATTAAGACTGCGGAGTTTATGTGAACAAGGACAGAATCAGGATTTTGTCGGATTTATACCTCATTAGGTAATATGGAAATTAACCGTAAACAGCTATCTCTCTGGTATAAAGTCGCATCTACATACAGTGTCTAAGGTAATTAATTATTACTACACCGAACAATCAACCCGCTCGTGTGATTTATTCGATTTAAATGACCTCACCTTCTTTCTCAAATGGTTGTTAATGAAGCATAGGCTACTTGAAGACAAAACATATTGCAATGTTGAAATTGAGCTTCCACAGTTGATCGTTTTGATAAGTGCTAGCTAACACCATGCCTACATACATATCTATTCTACAACAGCTATCGTCGAAATCTTTTGCCGTATATCTTAATGTATTCGCCAGGAATGAAATAAAAAAAAACTGTTTTAGCACGTCAGTGACATTAATTCAACACGATTCCTCTCTGGTTTACTTAAATATTGTATTTTAAAAATATTAACACGTGTTAAATAAACTATTTTATTTATCATAACAAAAACGTTTTTTATTTACTAAAACTCCTTAAACTTCTATAATATACGTTTTAAGATTGGAACTATATTTCCGCGTGGAATAAGTATTTTGGCGCGTGTCATCACGCGCAATTTACTGTTACGTCAAGGCCAGGATATTAACTATTCAGTCTTAATCGTCTGAGTGTTTGATAATTGTGGCAATATAGATAGAATGCATGGTTATTATGTTTAAATGTAGGCCGTGTTTTGCTTGGTGACAGAAAGACAACTGTGACAAATTACAGCTTATATCTTAAGACACTCTACTTTCAAATTTTCATTTACCGTACAAATGACACGTTTAAAATAAATATACTTTGTTAAATATATGTTTAGACTCCTGAAAAATTGATTGCATTGAACGACAGCTAACTGTAAAAATAGTTAACTGTATTAACACATGGCAGAACAAATATCATTAGTCTCAATCACTGATCATGTCCTTACAGAGGTCAATAAGGAGCGCGTGTCTCTAAATACGTCCAAACAACATGCTGCATCATTGACAAAACAGTTGATATGTACAGTATAGGAATTGAAGCTTTAACAATAACTGTTTTTGTCACAAATTCACCACAGCTGCATTCCTTTTGATAGATTTTCTTTAAAGTGTGAAATTAGATTTTAAAAAAAAGGAAGTAGTGATTTTGTTTTTAAAATCGTAACCGGAAAGACAGTTTTTTAATTCAGTTTTCCACCGAATTGTATACTGGGTGAAGGTAAAGATTTTTTTCAGAGTGAATGAAATCCTTAAGGATTATTCAGTACTGAAAATAAGTTGCTTTTAATTTGCATTTCAAATATTTTCGTTTCAGTGTTATGAAATTAGATAAATACACTCAAATAAATCAAATAAATCATATTTTTCTGGTAAAAGCCACAGAGACCTAAAAAAAATCTGGCTTGTTTCACTATTCCACGTATCTTGCTATTTCTGATCAATATATGCATGGGAATAAAGAAAATCTCTTTCACTTTCACTTTCATGAGAAAATATAAACACCACCTTGACTTGTTCAGAAGCAATACTATAAGAAACATTGAGTTCATAAAAACAGCTCGATCTGTTTTTTCTGTATTATGTTTTGGAGCATGGTTTCCAAACATTTAATTTTGTAGGCGCGATTCCCGAGATCTCAATCAGATAGACTAGCTCACGTACACCGGAAGTGTATTGCTATGTCGCGGCGCCCTTTGAGGTTGTACACGGTACATTTACCGACTGTCGCGGGACGCGGCACGATTTGTACCGGTCGTCCTATAGTTAGTCCTGGCGTGATCGGGTCGTATTGTTCACATGTCGACCGAATTTTCTCGATGGAAGTTCCGATGGTTGAATACCCTGACACGTGTGTTATAATGTAGATCATGTTCACTGACATTTTAAGACGCATGATTGTTATACCAAGTTCTTAACGATAATTTACACAATTATTTTTGTACAATACACTGTATTGGAAATAATAACAGAATACGGTTACAAATAAAGGTGAAACTATGAAATATTTTCATCTCGTTTGACGATTGCACTTGAAAACAAAAAGTTTGTAAAGTCATTTTCCCTTTAAATCATTTTCCTTGACAACTCTTGGTCCTTGGCTTATTACTGGAGCTGCTGTACCAAGTTTTAAATTAAGGAGATATAGTTTTGATTCCACAAACATGTAGAAATATCTGTTTCATCTGCCCATTCCCATTGAGTTAGCTTTACAAGCAATAGTTCTATATGATATACAATATATACAATATGACCCCTTGTGAATGTCAAACCGATTAACCAGGAGTAAATAGTATAAATAGATATAACTTTTTCTGAAAGATTTATGGTACAAAAATGTAGGTTTTATTGTGTTTATATCGACCCCGATCGTTGGTGTAGAATATTGTAAAGAAAATTTGCAAGTATTGTTTATCTTTTAGTACAAATTAAGATTGAGGTGCAGTAGAGCCAAGAAATGAATTAAATGCATCAGACAGCTGTTTCATCCCTCTAGGAATCGTCATTGATGCGAAGGGACAACAGTTTGCAACCCAGGAGACGACTGAAGGAAACAAGGAATTATAAACTCCTGTTAAACTATTGATGGGGAGGTGCACAAGTCCAATATTCCGTAAGATTCGCAATTTTTATATATTTGATAATCTTATTGGAACGCCAAGTACAGATGTACAAGCTGATATTCTGAATCATACCACCATTAGTCTGAATCCAAGCAAAGTAGGTTTTCAATCCTCATATTTGTCTTTATTATGTAAAATAAGACGTTATGTGATCTAAATTAGTCCTATTAACTGACGTCAACGTGAGGTCGAAGTTCAAGTGTTACGTT